TATTAAGGATAGGGCATGCTTATGTGAATCGCTTATGGGGTAGCCTGCTGGCCAGTTCCCACAATTACCATATTTATAACAGACATCACTGAACACTATAGATTTACGTGTTGTCTATGAGTATACTATCACTAATCATAGTAATAACGTTAGGTTAACCAAGTATAACCAAGTTATACCAGTATACCACACAGTTACTATTATGTTAAACTTAGTGCTCTTATAACATATTAGAGTTTGGAGTCAAATTCCCAATCCATTATGGTGAGGCTCTACCGGACGTTTTTAATATTTTTAAAAAAACTTTTTTAATCCCTAAATAATATATAATACAAGAGCCGTTTAGCACACGCGTGCAGGGATGCTACAGGTTTAGCCGCCAAATGCAATTTATTTTATTATTATAACAATAGCATTACAAAACCACAGACTCCATAATTACCAACTAGTGACCACTAATGCTACTTAAATGTCAGCAGTAGCAACATCGCACGAACGCGTTCACGTTTACTCCTGAGGGAAACACCTCTTGGGATCTTCCCCATTACCAGTGTACTAAAACACGATTGATTTAGTAATAATTATCTTCTGCTTATATGCGGATAGAACGACGACGATTCATACACGCGATCTTCATCTTGTTATAATCTGTTTTCGTTTTCGTGGAAACGATGTTCTTTCCAAAAGAAAACACACTCACCATATGCGACTAACCACGACGGTGCGGTTTACGCATTTCAATATTTTTATCCGATCCAACGTGTTGTAATAAATCGTCATTATTGCATTATTAACATATAAGCGTGCTTCTAATCACGTATGTATTACATGATATAAATTATAATATACCTACCTACCGCGGTAATATTGTAGGATTTTTATGAATGGGGCGATAAACGTTTTTATAKTTTCCGATTTACAGTAAAAAAAACTAGTTACGGCGGCGGCAGTGGTTTAATAAAGGCACAACTACTATTACTCAAGTCCTCGACGGCTAACACTGATAACAACAAAATACTACAGTGCATAGGTACTTTATAAAAATATGAATGCCTACATTTAACAATTATTGTGTGCTTTAATTTATTTCTAAGAAAAACCATAATTTACAGTTGTTCGTACGTCGGCAAGTTACAACATTCGCTACTAAACCTAAATCCCACCAGTATTTAATTTGAAAAATACTTAAACTCAGAGTTAGAACAAAGCAACAGTCAAGAAATCTAGTGGAGCACAAGGATAGCCTGGTAAAATACTTAGAGATACACCCAGACAAAAACTAATTTAGAGATCCAAAAGAAAAAAAATTAAACCAAGGTTACACGAGGATGAAAATCCTATACCTCCTACCAGTGACCGTCGCCCTTAACTAATAAATACGCAATTCAAGCTGCCACTACGCCAGTAGAAATTAAAAACTGCATTTATACTAAAGTTATATTCTTAAGAATAAAGCCCTAGAATTACCTAGAATTGTGCGTAATAAACAACTACTCGAGATTACCCTACCATTCCTACCAATAAAAATGGATAATTAACATACAAAACATCAACAATTACCTAAATAAAACTGATTCCTGATAGAGCTCCTCTACAAAATCGGCGAAAAACAACGAACCTTGACTAAAACCACGTCTACTACAGAACATCTTCTTAGAAGACCAACCATACTACTACCATGAAGATGATTTTATTGTTTACCCCTGTATTTTTATTTATTATGTTTGTATAATTTTCAACATTATAGAAACATTTGGTATGTTGAAACATTAAATACAATTATATATATATATACATATTTATTTACAGCGGAATTCCGTTAGAAAAAAAAATACTCGAAAGAAACGGATAACGCGTTCGGCCGACGGCGGTCATTATAATATTATTGTGCGTAGGTATTATTATAGAAAACGTTTTCTCTTCGCCGATACACCGCAACCGCGATGAAATAACCAACCAATTCCCCTGGCAACCGATCAAAACCATAATAATATCGGTTACCGTCCCTGGCTAATCAGTGGTGATCTTGCGTTCGCAAATCACATTAGGTCCGCGTTGTATGCATAATAACAAAAAACAACATTTTAAATAAAATACAAATAGGCAATACTTTGAAAAATCGAATCCGGCAAACCACCTGTGTGAAGCGGCAGCGGCGGTCAATAACGCGACAACAATAAAATATCAAACAAATAGTCTCGTCGTCGTAGTAGTAGTAGCCGACTACGCGAGCCGGAAAGATAAAAGACGGTCCGGTGGGCGGGGGATACGTTGCACACAACCGATGTTTTTCGACGATAACGAAAGTCGCGGTCGGAGACGGATGGCGAGCGCACCATTATTGCACGTAGCGAATATGTAGGATGCATTTTATGATAATAATAGTAATAATACTATGTAATAATATTACGTTCGTTTCGTCGACCGTTGGAGTGTAGATGGGTGGGTGGGTGTGCGAGTCAGACGTGAGTGTGGTTTAGAGCTTCGAGAACGAGCAGCGTCGTCGTGGTCGTGTCCTTGGCTATAAAATATATAAATATATATAGACGGTACTCGTCGAACACGCACACACACACACGAATGCATACGAATATCGTCTTTTTCGCGACACACATATACGCGCGAACGCACGATTTGATATTGTTTTTCGTTCGTACGGTTTGTTATTGCGCCGCTGCCCTGACGACGACCGCATGTATGTGTTGTGTGTGTGTGTATGTGTGTTGTGTGTGTATGTGTTGTGTGTGTGTGTGTGCCGCCGACGCATCCACAAACGACGAACCGCCTAACGTCAACGCAGCCGACAAACACACATGCGCTCACGCCACAATAATAATAATATGTGACCTCGTCGTCGTCATTCTATCTCACTCACTCCACGTGATATTATAAAAACACACACACACACACACGCACACACACACACACACACACACACACACACACACATACACACACACGCCTATATCTCACCGGAAGAAGATTGTTTACAAGTCACGATACTATTCGATTCGGACCATACAACAACGCGCGTGTGCATGTGGTCGAAGAGGAGGGGAAGAAAATCACGATTTATTAGCGGACCGGCCATTATTTACCGCCCCTATATATTGCGGTGGTGGAGGGGAAGTAACGAGATCTCATTGTGTGTTTGGCCGCGCGCTGTACCCGCGGGGTGCAAAGGGTTTATTCCCTCGTACGTGCTTCCGTGCGCGCGGACAGCGTCGTCGGCGGCATCGGCCACGACAACGATACGAACAGCCTGGGGCTTGTGACCGCTGCCGAGATTAATTCCCTCGAAATTGGCCGCTGTACAAAAGAACCCGGTCGCATATCTCTTTCACGACGCGCTGCACAATCGGAATTAAATCGTTCCGGTCCCCGTCCTTCGGTTCCTACGCCCCAAACTTACCCACTCGTACACGATCCGATCGAGCGTATTTCTCTTTCGACNCACACACACACACACACACACACACACACACGTCTGGACGACTCGACTGGCGCGCGCGTGCATAACGTTATTGCCATTATTATTATGACATTAATATTATATTATTATTGTTATGTACATCCATACGCATAATTAATATTAAATTGCGCCGAGTTCATCAGTTAATCTGTCGGTTGTACACGCTTGTTTTGCGGACATTTGTGTTCGACGTACGGATGGCTGACGGATTTAAAATTGCGATTCTATAGACTCAACGACGTAGGTATACCACCAGAGACACGGGAGGAGTATTATTAATTATTATGATATGAAATAAAGTATAAATATTACACACATGAGGTGGTGTGCAAACGCCGCGCCGACTGGCAGGAAATAATTCTGTCCCAAATCCTTCCGTTGACGACGATTTAGCACGCCGTCCATGTAATAGTTGTTGTTTCGTAGATGACCCACCGATTGACATGTCAATACATCGTTTTGTATGTACATATTATTTTTTTTAACRATTTATGAAACGATATATTGTACGCAGACGGCTGAGAAAATAGTGAACTATAATATTGTTAAGTTGAGTAGCATGCGAAACAYTCAACGGCACCAGTGTCTAATGGTCAATGACTAATGACAGAGTCTTAGATCACAATGATCCTTGATAACGTAGGTACCTGCTATTGTAGTAGCCAGTCCGATAACATATGGCCGGCAGGGAAAGATTTTGGATTATAGATCGCGTTTGCACCGACCACATTACATGACAATCGATAAGTGGTGTTCGGTGTACGCCTACACGTATAGTAATATACTTACATCATTATTATCCAAATCAACGAAACTCAAAGTCGAAACAAAAACAATTCAATCTCAAGATATGACCACAAACAATAGTTCTATCAGACTTAACTTTCAATTAAACTGTTATTAAAATAATATAGAATAACAGTTTATAGTTGGAAAATTAATAACGCTTTTTTCTACATGTTTTACGACATGAAGGTAGCTCACTATAATAAACTAGTTTTTTTTTTTTATAAAAGTATATATTTTTTCAACAGTAATTCTGATGATTACAACAATAGTATAATTTTAAATAAACATAAGCTAATTTTTAACCATAAACCGTTATTTAAAATTTTCCAAGCCGATAAAAAGACATAAAATTGTATATTTATAAACGAGTATTTGGAAAATGTTATACCTGGTTATAAATTTGACAACGTTGGAGATATAATGCAATAGTGTCGTATTTTAGGATTCCCGTGTCATTCGACAACATACACGATGTTTTTCGTACGCAATCGGGTATACCCTTTAAAAGCTATAAGACGAATAGGGTTTACAAAGATAAGGTTATCTAGACGGAAATGGTTTAATATTTTGAATATAACCATATAAATCCACATTATAGGTGTATTATTAATCTGACTATAACATTTAGCATTTATTTTCGAAAACATTTACTACGATAGCGATAAGTAATGTTACTAATAATAATAACGACCACGAGCTATGAGATAGATTTACTGTTATTACTGTTGTTGTGTCTTACCTGTTTTCGTTTTCGAGTGGAGAATTGCGCAGTGGCCGAATCGTCGATTTGCTCCTTGAACGTCTCGAACAGATTGACAACTTGCGCGTAATCAGGGTGCCCGTGAGACACCTTGACGTACGCTTTCCAGTTCTCGCGCTTGTAACCCCAGTGACAGGAATTAGTGCCTGTGAACCGGTGTATGTGGTTGACGAACCGCTGGGGCGCGAATAGCGCCTTGCACTCGACGCACTGTATGCACGCCGAGAACTTTTCGGTGTACAGTTCGGGCATACACACTCCCCGAGTCTTACCGAACACATCGTGAAACACCTCGAACGAGAACGTGACCACGTCGTCAGGCACCGGAGCCGCGGGCGGAGGGATCCGGTGGAGCAGTGCGAAGCATAGCCGCTCGGCATTCGTCTTGGTCATCAGCCCGCAAGACGGCGCCGTTACCGGCAGTATCTGGCAGTGCTTGAGCATGTCCAGCTGTTCGGGCGTACACCGAGAACAGTAGATGCGCAGCTCGTCGCATACCTGGTTTATTTGGGTGAGCGTGAAATCCCGGAGTACCGTGTTGAGGATCTGTGGCAGGCACAACCGCATCTCGCCACCCACCATAAAACACGCGATCTTCTCCCATTCTAGATCCGTTTCAAACAGCTCGCACCCCGACTGATCAGGCACATACAGAACCGGGTGCAGGGGCGGAGGCGGCGGTGGTGCTGGCACCGGTGTCTTCCGACCGCCACCAGACTCAGAGTCGCCGCCAGTCGCGGTGGGCATGGGCGCTTTAGGCGAGCACACGGCCACCGCAGCGCCAGACGGTTCGTCTAGCACCGAATTCGGTCCCTGCAGGCTTCTGGGCGCACTCATCTGGTATGTTTTGAGCACTTTGTTTATGTGCGGGTTGTTCACCTGCTGGTCGTTCTGGTGGTCGTCTTCCATCTCGACCGGGCGGGTCGAGTCGTCAGTCAGTAGTCGTTGCTGTCGTCTTCGCCGTCGACGTCTTCGTCTTTTCCGTGACCACGCAATCAAGTGCTCGTTTCTCACGTACAGATGTCTGTTTTCCGCACCACTGCTCTTTCTATTGATGCTACTGCTACTGCTACTTCTACTACTGCTGGTGCTATCGATTTCGGTGATGCTCCTGTCACTGCTCGACTGCGACGACGACACTCATATCGCCGCGATGAATGCGGACACGTCATGACCGCAGTGCGCGGACGATCGCGCGACAACAATCACAGGTGGCCGCAGTGGCCGTGTCGACGACGGCATGTGCCGAGGCGCGACCACGTCGACAACAACACCATCAACACACCGGTATGGGTCGTTAGAAGCTCTGTGAAAATCGCGCATGCTACGGTAACACTTACGGAAATAGATCAAACACCGGCTCGAGTCCAAAACGATTAAACGTATTTAGTGTAAAAAAAAAAAATCGGAAAATATGTATAAAATATTGTGTTTAAACTCGTATCACGACGCGCGCGAAAAGAGCATAAAATGATAAAGCATATAATGATTATTACCTTTGGTATGGAAGAACAAACGCGCACACAAAACGATAACACTTAATACGCATACTCGGAACACACAGTACACGCGCGTCTAACAGTATCTGACCAACACGAAAAAAAAATTTACAATTTTATTATAATAATATTATAAGTTTAAATAGTTTTTTTTATATATATATACATATATATATATATAAGGTTATAATAAAACAAAAAACACGTCGCGAACGACAATCACAAAACTAACACACTCGTTGACGGTCCCGCGTACACTACACGAATGACTGTGTATGACTGCGGCGGCAGTAGTAGCGTAGTAGTAGTATGTGTAGTGTTGTAGACGTTGTAGTAGTACCGTCGGGCGGCGGGTGGTGGCGGTGATTGTGATGGTGGCGGTGGTAGCGGTGTCGGCGGCGGTGTTGGCGTCGGCGGCAGCGGTGGAGGTGGAGGTGCCGTGACCGAGTCGAACGTAATAGCGCTGCTAGCCCTCGATCGGCGGCGGCGGTCGGACACGCAGACGGCGGCGGCGACGCACACGCATCGGAAAACAGAGTGGGAAGAACACACAGTGTTGCGATAGAACGTTTGGTGCGGTAGGAGGAGTGGAGCGGTGCGATCACACAGACACACTCACACTCATACAGCGTTCCCAGTGTGCGCGACCACGGGACCTGCGGAACGGTAGCGGCGGCGGCGGCGACGTTGGCAGACGTCGAGACCAGACAAGGGGCGGCGGCGTCGTCGGCGGCGGCGGCAGATCCTTGTTGTGTGCGTGCTTGTGCGCGCGCAACCGTCTAGTCGCCAAAACCCGAAATTATTCACCGCGTCACATTATTATTATTATTATCATCATTTTATAGACCAAGCACCGATACATACAAGATCGTACGTTTTCACGCACACGCCGACGTCATAATATTATGTTTTTTTTTGTTTTGTTGTTCCAGAAAAGTGCGTTTTGTCAACTTGTGTCGTACTGAATGTACCTACGAATTGTTTTCGACGGCATTACGATCTACTGTGTGTTTACGGTTGGGAGAGGCTCAGGCCCTAAAAATTAAATTTCTCTTCCACGATGATAAATTGCTCATTTTTTATTTACCATTAGCAAAATACTTTTGAAACATATAAAAAGTTATGTTTTTTAATTGTGAATAATTTGTGAATCATTGGACAATAATAATTATTGGAAATGTACTCTTTTTTTTATTCGATGCGTTTGGGTTAACCCGRGGGTAAGCTTATCAGGGCTCCACCACCCCTGTTTAATACCCCACCAACCTAACCAACGAGCTTGTAATACGTATAAAATATTTTAAATTTTTCTATGGCWGTTGGCAGTATACACGTCCCAGTTCTCCTATCAACAATAATATAATGTTCAAAATCTTGGTGTGCTAATTTTTGTTAGTCGGCACTACTCGTTGACGAGACGTATTAGAGCACTCGGTCGCAAACAACACGCCGTCGTAGATACTCCAAAGATTACACTCAGACGGTGGACCGAAAGTGAGACAGACATATTCCGGGTGTGTCGTGAGCGGTTCTCACACGCGCGCACACACACCACCGTTGTGTGGCCGTACAGCGCGCGCCGTGTGTGCATGTGAAATGTGCCCGTGTGCGTACGCAACTGCTTCTACTGAGCCGCCAGACGCAGACGTCGGCGAAAAAATATTACCGAACGTTGACCTTTCGTCATCTTCGTCGGGCGGTGGCGACGGCCGACGGCTCGGCGCATGCATAACAACTTACTATAATAATAATAATAATRATATAATATTATGTATTATTATGTAGATAATATTATGCCAAATTCACGAGCGATATATTGTTCAGTTTTTCTTGCGTCTAAAATGTACTGTTCCCCGTGGCAGCGATCAGTGATAGATCATATTGTCACGGAGTTACGCAGACCACGCGATATTATTATTTTTATAAAATAATATTAGATGGCAGTATGGCACAAAACAATATTTTTAGGATATTTACGCCCGTGAAGCGATTTTCCAGCTCACCAGCCGCCAATCAACACAGTTGCTCGCCGCACAACAAAATATAACTACTTATGCAACAACGGTGTCCATGGTAAATTATTGTGCTGAATGGACATTTTAGTAAAAGCGCGTCATTTTTAATTAACCGGAATGTAAAATATAAAAACGCGCGCGAGCAAGTTATTTTATCTCTGCTGTCAATAGTTATATATTTTTCGATGACTATAATAATAACGTGCACGGACGACGTCGGTTCAACTCGTTTCGAATGCATTACAATAAAATTATATASTATCGCTGTAACCGTCGGGCGGTCTCCGAACTACGATTATTCATTTTTTATTTTACTTTTTGCGCGCACACGTCATACACTCATGCATAATGCATACTAGCCTACTCGTATATTAGCGTATGCTGTGTACTACGGGCGCACGACCGACACATAAACGTGTATTACACGTGCATCTACCTGCGGCCCGGCCCGACAAACCTGAAACCAGAAATTATAATGATACACATCCTCCTCGTCGTCAGACCGAGGACACGATGCGCCAAATGCATCGCGTAGTGACAATTACATATTGCGAAATCGCAAGGTTAGGTTAGCTACCACATTGCTATTATTATTTCGTTTACGCGACGGCCGAGCAAGTGTTGTGTGTATATGTGTAAAAAATACTTTTTTTCCGTTGTTTTTTTTATTTGTTTATATATCTCTCGCCAGTTGTCCAATTATTATTGTCTTATTGTTCTCATATTGATTGTAGGACGCATCTAACGCAATTGAATACCTGAATTAGTACGCAATTAGCGACGGCGTTTCGAAAAGAACGTGCGGAAACTGGTCACACTGGTCTCGGGCGCGTACACACGAAGAAAAATCGTCAGAATGGAATGCGAACGAAAATACAAGACTGAGACCGAGGGACTCTCCACATTGGTGATCGAGGTGGATCGTGCCAAGAAGGTTGCCAACGCGGTCGTTTCGCTGCCTGGTGTATCGCCGTGCCGCGCGCGAGCCGCCAACTGCTGTCGCCACAGTATTATGCGAGTGCGATTACGACGACTGCATCCATCACCGGCAACGGATGCGACGAGCTGCACCGTAAAAAACATCGGCAGCAACGGACGATGAGCGCATCACGCTACCGCTATCGCGGAGAGTGAGACAGAGAGAGACAAAGAGAGAGCCGAGACGCAGAACACTGCTCCTCGGCCAAATCTCTTAACGCTCCGCCGCCRGCAAAACGATAATGGTATATAACAACAACATTAATAACAATAATAGAATGCGACGTTCCACTCACCCATTTGTTGCCGAATATTTTGTAACGTAGTTACATTAATGCCCCGATAATACGACTCGGTTGGTGTACGTTGAGTATAGAGGTCCCTATTTCACGTGTATTTAACAAAACGGTGTTAAAGTCCGTGTAAATAAAATACACGGGCAAATTAATATTGAAATCCGTGTACGATATACCCGTGTAATATTTGCATTAATATTTGTACGTMATATAATTATAGTAAACCTCCCCTGACGGATACATCCTAATAGTGGACAATATCTTGAGAACGGGGACATTCTCATTACTTTTCAATTTAAATAGGTACTTCCAAATAGTGAATTGTAGAAATAATTTACTATGCAAAATTTCGAAAAAAATCGCATTACCAGTCTATATGATTGTTTTATACATTTTTAATCTGATTTTAATATATTAGGTTTTTTTAAGTAATAAATAATAATACAGTTCACGCAAAACATTAACAAAAAAGTTAATGAAATAATTAAGTATGACAATAATATGCTTGATGATTTCACACAGTATATAAATAAAAAACATATTAATTTTTATAGCATTTTAAATAACCTAATAAATATATAAATAATAATATGTTTAACAATGAATAAGAAAACAAAATTAAGGAATTATAATTTAATACAAAATTTAAATACACGGACTCCCGAGTATAATTACACACGTGTACCTCGGATTTTAATTACATGGGTATTAATACATTTAAGATACGCGTGTACACGTGTTGGTTAATACTCGGTCAAAATCGCGAAATCTAGTATTACGTAGTGATCACCAAACATGCTTGGTGCTCACCTCCGTTTTTAACTTGCATATTTTATTCGAATTCTGATTTTATTCAAATTATTTACCAAGCATAWAATATTTTACATAAATTATTACACCTGCTTAGAGTGACCATACCGTCCATACCTTCGAACACTTACTAGCTKTTCTTCTTGGAGCAGATGGCTTTTTGAAAATACTGATGTATATAAATTGAAATTCAAAAGAACAGTTTCTAATTTATTAAACTCTATGTTGATTATAAGGATTCAGGATACTAAATCCAATAATTAATTCATACAAAAAATTTATAAAATTATACAATGCAAAAATAAGCTTAAAGGTATACCGTATA